CTCCCGCCGCATTTATATTAGTAGTTCTAAGTGGCGATAATAGTAGTACCTACTCTCTATGGTTATTTTGAGGAGTAAGTGAGATAATTCATGTAAGGCTCTTAAAACAGTCTCTGGCAAATATAAATGCCCAATAAATATTAGCTTAGTACAGCCTGCTTGCAGATGGAGGTTGACTGAGGGAGAAGTCTTCATTTTGTCCTGTGTAAGACACATGAGAAGTTCTTTGCTTTACACTTATCCAGGGAGACAGTTTTGAGAGTTAAGGAAAAAAAGATTTTCTAGCTCCAGCATAATTAGTAATCAAAGGCACTCATTATCACTAGAGAGAGTGAGCTTAGAACTAGAGACGAGGGGGGTGCAGTCACCAGAATAGATGGTATAATTGTTGAAGGACTCAGGATGTGAACCATGGGAACTTTGGCATGGATAACTGAGCCTAGGTGTCTAGGATCAAAAGAGATTAAGTGGGAATCCAAGTAAAATCCTGCTGTAGTTAAGAAAACACCCTCCAGATGTGATGTGCAGAGGCCTCATGTGCCACGCTTGCGTCCCTCGCAGACTCAGAGCCCTTCCTGAGAAGGGGAGTCCAGGCGAAGAGCAGTGGCTCGAGGAGGACAGACTGTGCAGCCAGGTACCACGGCCTCCAACCAGGTAACCCAGGACCTGCCATATAATGTGAGCGCGTTACTTAACCTCTCTGTCTTCCAGCTTCTTCATCTGTAAAATGGGAATACTAGGACACCAATTTACCAGAGTTATTACAAGGATTGTATACATGCTATAATAACACACAGTAACGCTGCATAAGTATTGGGTCTAATTATTATAAAATGATTTTAAAAATCACCTCTAGCCAATGGGCAATGGTTATCCATTTGCCTTGGAAGGGAAGATTATCCGAAATAAAAGCCAACATAAATAACAGGAAGTGGTCAATGGTTTGGCACCACAGTCGAGAGGATTGCACAGGAAGCCTTCTGAAGGGGTGTAGAGTGTGCAAGAGCTACCACAAGGCCCCGTGTGGAGCTGGTGCTTGGCAATCAGGTCCACCCAATGACCCTCTCTGGGATGTCATTCCACCACCTTCTGTGCTTTGCCAGAGTCTATTCTCACAGGAGCAATTCTCGGTCAGAGAAGAGTAAGTTCCTGCTTCTTACTAATAATGCAACTACTAATGCGGACTCCCCAGCCCTGCTAAGTCGGGGTCTCTGCAGACAGGGCCTCGTTATCTGGGTTTTCAGGAGCATCCCAGGTGATTCTTATACATACTAACATTTGAGAACATTGCTCCTGTGGGACTCTGAGACGCCTTCCAGCTCTGACAGCCTCCGATTCCATGGCTGTCTGGTCGGATGAACTCCCGAGCCCACCACATGTCGTCAAATCCACTGGGCACAGTTCCCAGAGGCCAGAGTCATATCTCAGATGTGAAGAGAACAGGAGAGCAGGTGCTGCACAGCCCTCCTCCCTTCCTGCCCCTCATGCCACTCTCACATCCGTCACAGATGTGCCACCTGGGCCTGGGGGGGAGGGCACTGGCAGCCTCTCTCCTGGTAAAGTAACCCTGTCTTTTCCAGGAGCCCTGACTACCTTGCAGGGAAAAGAAAATCATGACATTCCATCCACACGTCACGAAGAGGCATCTTTCCGGCGGAAGACAGCATGACGTCACGGAATATGTGATTTGGGTCTCCCATTTAAAATGAGAGACATCACCTTCCCGTCCTCCCAGAATGGGACACTGGAAACACACTGTGTCCTAAAGCACCCCAGCTGCTTCCATAATGCCCCGAGTATTTCTGGCAGAGAAGGGACGCTGTGCCCCTCCCGTGATGGTAGCGCACTGGCAGGCTCCCCGCGGGCTGCGGAAAATGTGGTTCTTTGCTCTGCTGAGGCCCAGCGGGGCCAGACAACCTTGGATGTGGTGGTGGCCCTGGTGGGGAGGGGCAGGCCACAGGCATGGCAGGAGCTGGGCAGAGCCCCGGGAAGGGCCGGCCTGGGCGCACATCCGCAGTGGCGCTGAGACGGAGAGCAGAGGGGCGGGGAGGTCGTTCTTAGGCAGGGCGGCCTCCGCCCCCTCGGCCACTGCAAACCTGCCACTGGTCTCCCTGCCTCAGCAATCCCCAATCCCGCATCCATCCTGGCCAGCCTTCTTAAAATGCTACTTTCACCAGGCTAACTCCCCCCTCGAAACCTCCACGGCCGCCTCTGCCTAAAGTATAGCCTCGGTTCCTAATTCCTCCGCCTGCTGCTCAAAGCCTGCCACAGCCCCAGCGCAACGGGTCTCCCCGATGTGTTTCCCGCAGTTCCCACAAACCCTCTCAAGTGCTCGCAAACCTCCCGCTCAGCAAGCATGGCCCTCACTGTCTTCCCAGGCGCGTCCTAAAAAGCTGCCTGCAGGCTCTGCTGCTGTGATGTCCCTTCCTGCTACCGGGCTCCCCCTTCCCTGGCCTGGCCCTCCTCACCGCCTACTCAAACCCTGTGTCCGTCTCAAGGCAAGTCTTCATGGCTCTGCAGCGATCACCACTGACACAGGTCTCCGCTCCTCTGTGGTCAACCCTTGCTGGCTGGTGGGGTGGAGGAGACACAGTCTGGAGGCAGAGAGCATGAGTTCGAATCCAGCTCTGCCAATGGCTAGCTGTGTGGTTTGGGGCAAAGCATCACCCTCTCTAGATGTCAGTGGCTCTACAACCTGGCGAGTTATTCCAGTGACTGCAGACAATGTATATAAAAAGTGGTAGCAGGTAGGACCGGTGGCACTCACTACCTTGCCTCCCCAGTTTGACTCTCGGTGTCTTCACTGTACCCCCATAGCACTTAGCTCACTTCCGGCTTCTTAGAAGGGGCTCAGGAGACATTTTCTTGGGTCTCTAAGTGTTTGCACTACAAGACTGGATTTTTTTCTCAAGTAAAAAAAAAAAAAAAGGTGATGAGGCCTGAGACCTCCTTTGCACTCACCGGACAAGCCAGCTTCATAAACCTCAGAGGCGAAACCAAATAACTGTGTTGGGATGGAGTCCATGTGCGCCTCTACCAGGGAAACCTCTGAGAGCTACAGCCTTGGTCTGGAAGCTGAAGCTTTCTCCACTCAGCTGCCTGGGAACACCAGCAGCTTGCTAAGGAAACCACTTGGTTGTCAAAACACATCCCAGAATCTCCTTCCAGGGGCTGTCAGCCAACATCCTGGAGAACGGCAGCCTAGCTCTCGGGAGTTCAGTGCTGATAAATGATTTGTAAATGTCACGTAGGCCCCTGGGGTGGGTGCGAGTGTAGATGGGAGTTCTCTCTATTTCAAAGCAATGGAAAATTGTAAAACCTTCTGCTTTCTTGTATAAGATCATGTACCATACTTTTAAACTTACAAACAGTAAAAATGACTATACATCTACTTGCTCCTGTCACACCACAGGAATGAGACCTCCCCTACACTAAAAATGATTTCCTATGCCTTTCTTTGTTTTCAAGCCCCTTAATCTCATTATTCCCCTTCCTCCACCCGAGCATCCCTCCTGTCTGTTCTAATGGATTCAACCAGTCACCTAACAAGTATTTCTTATGCTCCATTGTGTGTCCCGAGTGCTGTGGGCCACCAAGAAAGATAGCAGAAGAGAACACGGCCTCCTGCCTCGAGGAACAACTTAAAATCTAGATGTTATGTCCCGTCTGCACCAGCCCGAAACCAGCTCCTGCAGGCCTGCATTTAGTCAGTCCGTCCAGAGCATTTATTCAACGCTGCTGCGTGGCTGGAATGCAGGGGGAGAACCAGCCAGACAAGGCCCTGGCTACATGGAGCTTACATTTTAGTAGGAGAAAGAGGCAATAAGCACGTAATAAATTACAAATTGTGAAAATGGTGAGTGCTACAAAGGAAATAGGGTGATGAGATACAGGGTGACGGGTTGTGGGGCTGGAGGCCAGAGCACGGCCCTCTGAAGAGGGGCACGAACAGCCTGCCAAGTGGGAAGACGTAGGAGAAGGGACTTCTAGACTCCCACCAGCAGAGGGCTGGCCTGCGAGCCAGAGAACAGAGGATGCAGGGTGAGGACAGGGCTGCTGGCCTGTAACCTTCCGTGTCCCTCCGGCAGGAGCTATGCTTCATTCATGCACTGAGCACCGTGCCCGATACACTGTAGATGCTGAATGAACGCACGGCAGTGATGGGTGACGTTGTTCACAATTTGCTACATGCCGGGCAAGGTGCTAAGTACTTGCCACACATGGTTTTATTTAATTCTTATGACAGATAAAAGCAAGTTTTCACAGACGGTGAACAGCAGAGCTTGGATTCAAACCTGGACAATGTACTTCCGGACCCGCTGGTCCCCGCCCTGTGCTCTGAGTGGGTGCAGGAAGGCTCTGGCCCGGGATCTTAGGTCTCATTCACTCCCAGGAGCGACATACAGGGGAGGCTGTGCCAGGCCTTGGGTGGTTGGAGTCCATGTTAAATTGTATCTGGTATGTTTGCTACACACAAATGTTCACGCCTCTTCAATATCTAACCGAATAGCTGCTTGTCTCTGACAAGAGCCAAGTCTCAGAGAGATTTCATTTCCGAGGTTGGGCAAACCAAATAGTAAGAGAAATAGCATTTTTCCTCCTGTGTAGTTCATCTGGAGAGAAAATTTTGTTCGTGTACTGGTAGATTTTTTAAATTGTTCCTTAATCCCTATAATTACAATATTCACAACATCGTACACTGCCCGCGCTGATGGGAGGTATGCTAAGCGCAGTGCCCAGCCCCGGAGCCCAAGCTGCAGCGGAGCTCGGGGAGAAGGCAGGTCACAGTGCTGCGCAAGGCGGTTCTATTCCACGACGGGGCACACAGTGCTCCTCTCAGTGCCCCCCCACACACCTTTGCGCAGGCCCCGTGCACCTTTCCCCAGCCGCGCCAAGCTCCCCCACCCCTCCAGACCCGCGGCATGTATAGCCTGCTGCTCGGGAAGCCTCTTCCGTAGCCTCTCCCACACGCGGCCCACACCTTCTCCTGAGCTCCCAAACCTTGCACCTCCTTCCCGCCTCCATGTCTGTTTTGCCCATTTGTGCACTTAGCGCTGCTTGGTAGATCGTGGGAAAACAATTCCCTCTGGCTCACATTTTGACATCTATAGCTCTAACTTAGCACCTGTGATGTTAGCTCTTGGTAAACATCACTGAATGAAATTTGGTGACGCTCCCATTTTGGAGGGGCAGGACTTGCTCCAGCCTTTCTCCTGGAGCTTTACGTGGCAGTAACAACCACAGTAACTGACCTCTCCTCAGGGCTGACAGCCCGACGATGTCTGTGTAGTTTGCTGCACTTGTCCCGGGACAACCTGAGAGCAGGCCTTGTTACTATCCTTATTTTATGGTTGGAACAATGACTTTATAGCAGGCCATTTGGAAAGGTATCGCTTGCATTCGGTCTCATAGCTAATGAATGGTGAAATCAGGATTTGAACTCAGATCTACCTGTCTCCAAATCTCACTCACGTAACCAAAACGCTGAACTGACCCGCGGCTGCCTCCTGTGCTGGCTCCAGGCTGCTCTGCGCACCTTCCCAATGCAATGCTCTCTTCCGCGCTCTGCACCGTGCCCCAGGCCTGCTGTCTTCTCCCCACCCCGGGGCACAGCTCACCCTCCAGCTGCTGTCTGCAGCCCCCAGCTCCCCACTCCTCAGAATTCTGCAACCCACTCTGCTGTCCAGCATCAGCTGCCAAGATTTCCATGCTGCCTCCCCAAGCCTTCTGCTTAAACTCCCATTTCCTAGAGGGTCAGGCTATAGTTAGTTGCATTTGATTTAACTAGTTCACACTGAAGTGTGAATGACTCTTAGCCCCTTAAAGTTCAATGGGAACTTGCCATTTGAAAAGGGGGTATGTGTGAACTCCAAAAATTGAACTTCAATATGTTCCCAAAAGAGAATTCTGAAACGTTTTGATCCATGCAACATTTCCTAGTTACGTACATAGCCTTCTCCAAGGTGACCCCTTTGAACACTTGTTTATTTCTATGCCTGAAGGCCAGTACACATATGTTTGCTTAAAACAAGTTCTAATGAGGTTATGGTCAGACCTCACTGACATACTGTTTATCATACAATTCAGTGGTCTCATTAATATACACTTTTCATAAGAATCATATATTGTTCTTTTGTTTCAAGCTAGTCCCTACCATCTCTGAAATACAGTGTCTACACTAAATCCCTTCTGTAGCCCAGAGTATGAAGGTGGCCCAGGCCCAGAATCAAGGATGAGTTGATCACTAATTCACATCAAACTTAATCCTAGCTTTGCCTTCTCACTATTTCCCAGAAAAGACCCAGTGAACCAGACCCCATTGGCGGGGGGTGGGGGGAGGAGGGCATCAGAGCAGCCCCCTTCAAGGCCATGGAAAAGGCCTCTGTCTGGCTCTGGGAAATTCCAAGCTCCGCTCAGACCCAAGTCTGCCATGGTGGCCACCAGCTGACAACATCTGGAATCCATTTCCCACTCCAAAAAGCCACCCAGCTAAAACTGACTTTACCCATGATCTGGCCCAGTGATGTGGTCAGGAAAGCTCAGGGAGGGATCCCCTGCCAATTTCAGGGAATGAGAGAGGTTGGGTGAGGTCTGGATTTTCCAAGAAGAAGAGTAAACCCGAGCTGGGGGTACTAGCTACACAGGGGCATCAAACTTTTGACATTTGATGTTTCAATAAATCACTAAGGGAAATATTAGAACTCTTGAGGACTTTCTTAATTCATATTTTGGTTGGTAAGGTCTTTATTTTCAATTACATACAGGGAAGCATCATACCATTTAATTTACCTTCCAAGCCGGGACATTTGGAAGAGGAGAGGCATAGAGTGTTAAAAAACAATAAGACATCGCTGATCAACAGCAGGTACACCTGGCTGTCCTTGGCAGACCAGACGTGGTCACTCTATCCCTCACCAACATATTTTTGCCCAGAATGCCAACTTCTCCTATCTCCCAGCTCTATCTCCAGCCCATCTTCCCTTCCATCCCCACCCTGCCGCTCTGCTTCAGCCTCTGAAACACTCCCCTGAATCTTTGCCGACGGAGTTCTCCTTCTTCATGACCCGAGGAGTCCCAGCTAACAGCAATGTTCTCACCACCCGGACGCACGCACGCACGGGGAGCCAGGGCAGAGCACGGGGAACTGTCGGAACAGGACCCGCCTCCTGCAGCTGCCTGGATGCCAGGGAGCATCTCTGTCAACTGTGCAGTGACAGCATTCAACGTGCAAGGCCACGGATGTTGCGGTTTAAGTCAGAAGAGGAGTCAATTCGGGCCAGAAAGCTCTATCATGTTGCTGCAATCGCCGAACCCCTTTCTAGGCACAGAGATCAGTGAGAAGACCATTAGCAATGACCTGCTCTCCAGGAGGGGTTCGAGCTGGGGTGGGAGAGAGCTAGGTAAACACCCAGCCTCAGTGGGGGTGCAGAATGTGTTATTGGTAGGAGCACCAACAAAGGGGAGATAGATGGCTTTGGCATGAAGATGGTTTCTCTGGGAAGATGTACTTGGCATCACATTAGAGAGGAGCTTAAAAGTTAAGCTAAAGGGACTGAAATGATTCTGCTCAGGAGCCCTGGCATAACGTGATGACCGGAGTTGTTCCCTGCAGAGATTAATTTGGAAGTCCCACACAGGGTGAAAAGTGAAAGGAAAGCAGAGACCACTAGTAGGTTGCTACAGCTGTCCCAGACACTAATTCAAAACTGGTGTCCAAATGATATGGAGTTTGCAGAAGAACAATAAATAGCAATAATATAACATTAAAGTGTAAAATGTGCACCACAGAGAGTGTGATGGGGATCAGAGCACAACTGACCGTCAGTGGTCCGAGTTGCATATTCTGTAAGAAATACTTCGTTGCAACTGGGTGCCTTGACCACCTAAGTGTAATTGGCACTGCTTTCCTCAATTGCCTAAATGATGCCCACTTAACACAATTGATTGCAGTGATGGAAAGTTTAATCTGCTGGGGAAAAAAGCAAACAAATGTTTACATTTCCAGTAATTGGCGCAGATTACGGAGAGTTACCCACTCCCGTTGCACAATCTCAGTTGCTTACAATACATGCCAAAGGGACAGCTGTTTGGACTCTTTGGAGCAAAGCTGCTGCATAAATATGCAGTTTTATAGTAGCAGTAATTTATAAATTTATAATAAACATTACATTGTAATAGTATGACATTACTCAGAAATTCCTAAGTATAGGTCTTGTGTCGGAACACAATTTATAGAATTATCAAACAACGAAGCTGATGACTGCTGTAAGTAGCCTGCTTCCTGGAGACCAATTACTATAAAAATGAAGACTTAAGAAAAAAAGGGCAAAGCTCATTTTTTTTAAATAGACTTGGGATTCAACAGATCACTATTGATCTCTGACTATATTGCAGCACAGGGGCTTGATCTGTGTGCAGGGAACCACGAGGGCCACAGGAAGGGACGAGCGTGGGCCAGCTCGAAGTCTGGGAGATAAGACGTGGTAAGAATAACCAGTTCAAGGGGTAAGGTGACGAGTAATGAGTGACATGAGAGGGCTGGGGGGATTAGGCGTGTTCACGGGGCAGGAGGAGGGGAAGACTATATCAATAAACATTAGATCTATATGACCTTCCCTTCACACTAATTCTGAAGATCGTCTCTCTTAGCAATCCCGGCTCGAACAACTACTGGACTTAGATCAATCCCCAAACCTTGAAGCACAATTATATTTCTCTGGGACACGTATAGCTGCCTCTTTTGGTTTCGTTTATAATGATGCCTGCACGTGTCTCCTCCTGTACAGGCAGGTGTAGCCTGTCCACAGCAGCCTGGCCTTTTCTGAAGGCAGAGCCTGTCTTGTCGGCGTCCCCACTTACAGTACGTAGCGCTGACGGGCTCTTCCAGCCCATCCGAGACACGGGCAGGGGGCAGGAGTGACTTCCTCACGGCACAGGACGTCCGTCACGCAGGAGAGGTTGCTCAGAGCGCAGTGAGGGGCGCGGCGCTGGGCGACCTCCGGCTGGTCAGAGCTGATCTCCGGCTCCAGCTCCGCACAGACCTGCCTCCCTCCAGCTCCTCCCAAAGCCGGGGCCACACGCGGGGAAAAGGCCCAGCGCCCACTGGGAGGAGGGGCAGTGTGCGCAGGATGAAGGGAAGCCCCAGTGTCCTCCAGAGCTCTCCGGTCCTGAAAGAGCCCTGAAGGCTCAGGCTTGTGGGGGCCTGAGCCAAGCCCTGTCCAGCGTGGGGGAGTGTTCACTCCAAACGTCCAGGCCATGGGCCTGTGCACACAGACGCTCAGCTGTCCCCACGCTCTCTTCTCGGCCCCCACAGCCTCTCTCAGATTCTCCAGTTCCTGTCTCTGGTCTTAGAACGGTTGTGAGGAGCAACAGGTCTCTGGGACTCCTTGCTTCTCCTCACCCCTCCTTTCCCCTCGGGGCCTGCGCAGTCACAGCCCCAGGTTGCTCACCCTGTTTTCTGGCATGGACTCAGAGTCCTCTGGGGTGTCCTCTTAGCTAGCTAAACAATCAAGGCACGCCTGAGGCCTCTTCCTGCCCAACCCCCTTAAATTAAATTTTAAAAATCAGATTTGAACCCACTGCTTGCCTTCCAGGAGAAACGTGCTGTGCCACTCTTGGAGACTGGTCTCTTGGGAGTGCTGCCGGCAACGGCAGGGCCACCTTCCTGCTCCTTGATGGCGAGTGGGCAGGACTGGCGCTGGGATTGCCAATCCTGCCTGGAGCAGTCCAGCGGTCCCTGGCTTTTCCCAGCCCCCAGCCCCGCCCAAGGTTTCCGCCCTCTGCTTCCGCAAGAAAACACAGGCTTCCCACTAGTGTCCCCATAGTCCCAGCGTTCCCGCCCTACCCCCGTCCCGCATTCCGTGCCTTCTTTTCCTTCACCCGAACGTCTCCCCTTCTCTGACCGTGCCTCCTCTCTAGGCAGCAGGATCTCCCCAGGGACAACACTGCTTATTTCCTGGACTTGAAAATTGTCAGTTCCTTCATTTGCTCGCTTGATTGTTGATTCTCCCCATTCAACTGGAAAGCCAATCAGGAAAGATCCTTGCCAGTTAGTCTCAGAGCCTAGCTTGGCGCCTGCTTCACAGTAAATACCTATCGAATGAATGGAGGAACATATGAATGAATGATAGTATTAAGTACACGGGATCCGAAATCTTTTCATTTTCCCCCTGAGATGGTGAGGCGCTTGTTTAGGGGCGCTGTTCATTATTGCGCTATTTTTGCATACCTACATAGGCTCGAAATTTGCAATAAATGCAAGTTGAATTGAGGCAAAATCAAATCAGAGGAGACAGATCAGGGCTTCACAGGCAGACTGGACCCAGATAAACAGACAGGGCAGGGCTGCGCCTCAGGAGGCGGGGCAGGTAGGGGCAGCTTAGTGAAGACTGGAGACGCTCGTGCAGAAGGAGCAGAGTGGCATTACTGAGAGAAGTCTAGCCTAGGAGTCAGGGAAAACAATTCTAGTCCTGCTTTAATGAGGGGTGTGACCTTGCCTAAGCCTCTTCTCTCTTGGTTTGCTCATCTCAAAAATGAATGGGACAGACCAGATTGTTTGTAAGATTCTTTCCAGCTGAAACATCCTATGGTGCAAAGATTGCCATTAGAAAACAAACACCAAGTAAAGGGACGGTAGCAAGCACCCTGCTCTGTCTGGAGGCCTGAGGGCTGGGGTTGATTCACTCCAGACTGGGCCACACTGCCCCGGACCCACGCGTGCTGCCACTCGTGTGCACACCACATGCAAACCACTGCACACAGAGGCTGCCCAAGCCCAGGGCCTGTCTCCACAGCCAGAGAAGAAGCAGGTGAGAAGGGGCAGGGGGAGGGCAGCCTGCAGAAAAAGACTGAGGGCCAGAGAAGGAGGCCCCGCCAGTCTGGGCCCTGTTCCATCGGGCAGCTCGGGGGAAACCCACTACCCAAGTCCTGGGCACAGTTCCAGTTTGTCAACTCCGTTCTCCTCCCTGGATATAGAGCAGCCTGCCTTAAGGCCACAGAGAAAACTCCAGAAGCCAGGTAAGCCTTTCCTGTGAGGCCCTACCCGGGCTAGCAAGTGCCAGTAGGGTATGCCCTCCCCAGACCTCGGCTGGCTCTTGCAATAAATGCGAGTTGAACTGAGCGAGATCAAATCGGGGAGGCAGATCCGGCTTCGCAGGCAGACTGGGCACCAGGAGGTAGCCCTCTGCGTGACTGAGCAACCCATGAGCTGACGTGACAGGGACGTGCAGCTCTCCAGCGAAGGCTGGGTTTACCTTTTTAAAGGATTGTGTTTTATATGATTATATAAAATTAAGGCTATATAATAGAGCCTCGATTTTTGTCTCCTGGGCTACAAAGCCAAAAATATTTGCTACCTGGCCCTTTTCAGAAATTTTGCCAACCCCTGCCCTAAACAATAGCTTAATCGCCCTGTTATTGGTAAAATCAGAGCTTCTACCCCAGCCACTGACCTTGAACTCTAAACGCCACCCCCGCATTACGGTGATGGGGCCGGGCAGCCATTCTCCTCCAGGCCACTATTCCCACCTCCCTCGTCCACCTGCCCTCCCGCTGCCCTCTGCCTGCAAGGTCTCCAGAAGATCGTCTTTTCTACCCCTGTCCTCACAGATCCTCCCAACCCTGCCCTGGTCCCCATCACTCCACTCTGGAACCCCCTACAAGGGACTTGGCACTTATGGTCTTGTGGGAGTTGCTTTTGTTTTGCACTGACTGCTTCTCCAGGGAACTGCAAGCTGTAGTATGAAGGCAGGGACCACGCCTGGTATTTTTCCTGGTCTCTCTCACCACACCTAGGAGAGGGCTGGCCCCTGAGTGGCTGTTGAGTAAAGATGTGCTGCCGAAGCCAAACAGGAGAGAAGAGCACCTGCCCCCACCCAAGTGTCCACCGTGCCCAAGCCTGTCACTTCTGGGGCTGGGGAGGACTTGAGCACCGTGTCCCAGCATGAAGAGAAGCTCAGCTCCATCTGCCTGAAGCCTGGGCTTTTATCACTCACACTAGAATAATGCAAATCCCAACTCTGGAAAAATTCCTCAAGGGCTTGTTCTCTGTTTCATTCTCCCCTCTGAGGAATGTCCCTGGAGCTGGGGCTTTTAAAGCCCACGAAAAGATTTTTTTCCTGAACCTGTAATTGCTTAGGATTCTGCAAGCATATGTGCAGGAGAAAAAAAAAAAGGAGGTCGCAGAAAGGAGGGAACAGCCAGATGCCTCACTGTCCTTGGTTGTGCACCCAAGCACAACCCTCTTTGTGGGCCTTGGTTGCCAAAGCCGGCAGATTATAAACCTAGGGATGGTTTCCTGCTTTGGGAGCCAAGGAACAACATCTGGATAAAAGGCTTGGTGGAGGCCCCTTGATTTAATCTCCTCAGGAAGGTAAAGGCTACGGAAATCAATGACAGCAGAGAAGGGGAGTGGGAGGGGACAGGAAGGGGTGCCTTGCCTCAAGTAGCCTGGGAAAGAGCTGTAACATTCAGACACCTTCCCTGCTAGTCATGTCAAAAGGCAAACCAGGAAGACTGGAAAGCAATAGTGCAGCCTATTTCTAGAATCATAGCAGCAGGTGCACTTGGAATGTGGAGAGATGGAGGCACTCTCAACTGTCCAGTTTGAGTGGACAGGTCCACTCCCAGGGAGTGCCCCTCCCAGGACCCAGGCCAGGTCCTGCCCTGCATCCCCGGCCTCCGGACCAGAAGGCTGCAGCAGGGCACTGGGGTGCCGGATGCCAGGGTTCCCTCTTGAACCATCTTGGCCCTCTTTGTAGAGCTGTCTTGCAGTATCCTCTCCTCCCACGAAAAAAGGTGCACAGAGAAAGTTAGATTTGCCTTTCTTCCTCCTCATTCTCTCATTCCCTTACTTGATTCCTGAGGATTTCTATAAGATTGTGCCCATTTGCTGGACACTGTAAAGATACTGTCCATTCTAACAACATCTTGCCAGGCACCTGGACACATCTAAGACTTGGATGCTGCTCTCTCTTTGTTGCTTAAGCCTAAAGGGACAGCCCTTCAGGTCAAAGGTGGTGACATCTCTTTTGTTTTTAAGGGAAGGTGCCCTAGGGGTGACTACCCAGTCCCGGTCACCCGATCTGGTGTGTGCTAAACTACAAACATTAGCTTTAAAGGCACAGAGGGCTCGGAGGTGACACTGTGTAGACTTGCGCTCTGGCAAGATGCCCTGCTTTTAGGCAGATTGTAAATTATAAATAAATAAAGTGTCTCTGTTCTTCTTTTGCTTTAGCATGTAATGAAAAACAACAGAGCCTGCCTGCACCATCCTTCTGTTTCCTCCTCAGATTTGCTGTTAAGAGTTCCTGACTGGAAATGACTCCAGGCAGCCACAGACACTGGCTTTTATTACTGTGTTGACTGTCTTGTATTTAAATGCACAATTCCCGGACATTGGTTTAGTAGCACAGATTCCCCCTTCCCCACATGGAGACCTGGAAACCTGCTCAGAGGCAGCCATTAAGCCTACTGCTGTCCCGGGGGCGGTGGGATTCTGGACCACGACCCACCTGGTGAGGACGTGAAACAAGCAGTCTTTGGATTATTTAGCAGAAAAAGTGACAGCAGGAATCTGGAGCCCCATGGCAGATAGCTAATCCCAGAGAGAAATGACAACCACTGTGATTGTTTTGCCACAACCATTTGTGACAAGGGAACAAGGGGATTTGTTCTGAGTTTAAGGATTACTCAGGGCAAGGCCACAGTCTGTAGAAAACAGCCTGTAACGTGAACAAGCAAATCCTTCCACTTGCCTCTGGCTGCAAGAGAGGCAGGCACTCTCCCTGCCCCGCCACGGGCAGCGGTCCGTCCGTGGCCAGCACAGGGCTGCTGTGCCGCGCTGTGGCGAACAGGCTGTGTGGCTCTGAGAGTCAGGCTTGTTTCCCAGAGCTGTCGAGAGCCGCGCTGAGGAGGGTGCAATCCAATGCCGGGAGACCTCCGCAGGAGAGTGGAGGTCTGAGCCCCTTTTAGTCCCTCCACACTCCATGCTGACATGAGGGCTCGCACCCCTCCTTCAGGCAGCAAGTTGCAGGACTGTCCGTGTCACAAACAGCCTAGGACAAACAGAACCCCCCAACATTGTCTGCGAGGCCCAGAGGGGCCCTGTCAGAAAGATGCTGCTGAGCAAATCATGAGCTTTCCAAGTTTTCTAGCCCCCTAGGCAAAGTGCTTGCTCTGACTCCAAAACCAGAAACAGCCAGTGACAGACTGTTTTTAAAAATTTCAAAAAATATATCAGCTGTAGAAAAACCAACACTTGCCTCCACCAAGTAACCTTTTATTTCCTAGGATAAAAATAAAGAGAATAAATTATTGGAAGTCTTCCTCCAACATCGTTAAAATGTTTTTTGAAGAAAGTTACTAGAATTGCTTAAGGCGCACAGAGAAAGTTAGATTTGCCTTTCTTCCAGAACATTCCCTGCCCTAGATGCAAAGTGCTGATACCACATCCCAAAAAAGAGAGAGGCTTGGACAAACAGCAACCAGAACAGCCCTGACAGGGTCTTGGCTGTAATAGAAGTATCACAGAAAAACATCAGGACCACCCTCTCTTCCATAAATACAACGTATATCATGAAAATATATCCAAAATATCTCTATCTGAACTACAGTACCAAAATCCACTCACCAGCCATAAAAATAATATTTTCCCCTATTCACAAATATAATCATATGTAAAAGAAATTTGGAACACATGGATAGGGGGGTACAAAATCTCTTGGGATCTGGGCTATTTAAAGTCATTTTTGTTTGGGTTATCCCTCTGCTGGGTATAGGAAACTGGCTACAAATACATCCATCTCACAGCGCTCACCATTTCAACGGCTCCTGCGTCATGGAATATGGTACTTTTTAAAAATAGGCGACCCTTGGTGTCATGGAAAAAAAGAGGAAAATGGGGGTATCAGGGGAGGGAGGGAGTGCAGGAGTGAAAGGACAGGGACAGAATAAGGTTACGACATGGCTTCCAATACTCTGCGGTATAAAGCAGACAGCCAGCGGGCCTGGCCTTCCCCGCCCCACTGCCACCAGGCTGCCTGGATCTCCCTTCACAAATCTGTTTCCCGGCTGGTATCCAGGCAGAGGGCATACAGGGACCTCCGCAAGTCCACGTTGCTCTTGGCCTTGAGGTTACACTTCTCTAGGGGACAGCTGCCCCTTCGGGCACTGTCTGCATTGTCCAGGGAGCCACCAGTCTTGCAGAAGGAACCCTTGTTCCAGCTGGCCTTCCGCTGGCCTCCTCTGTCCAGCCCGGTGCCCTGGCTCTGACTGCCTTGCTCTTCCTTAAGGGCTGCCTGCTCCTCGTGGTCCGTCTCGCGGTGGTAGAAGTAGTTGAAGTTGGAGACGATGACGGGCACAGGCAGGGCAATGGTGAGGACCCCAGCGATGGCACACAGCGAGCCCACGATCTTGCCCCCCACAGTGATGGGCCTCATGTCACCATAGCCCACAGTGGTCATGGTGACTACCGCCCACCAGAAGGCATCCGGGATGCTGGAGAAGTGGGTCCCCTGGTTGTCAGCCTCTGCGAAGTAGACGGCACTGGAGAAGAGGATGACCCCGATGAAGAGGAAGAAGATGAGCAGCCCCAGCTCCCTCATGGAGGCCTGCAAGGTCTTGCCCAGGATCTGCAGCCCCTTGGAGTGGCGGGAGAGCTTGAAGATGCGGAACACCCGGACCAGGCGGATCACTCTGAGGATGGCCAGGGACATGGCCTGCTGCCCGTTCTGGCCGCCCCCTCCCCCGCCACCTGGCTGCTGCTCTGCCAGCTCGGTGCCCAGGGTGATGAAGTAGGGGAAGATGGCCACGACATCGATGATGTTCATGATGTTCCGCGAGAACTCCGCCTTGCTGGGGCAGGCGAAGAAGCGCACGAGCAGCTCGAAGGTGAACCAGATGACGCACGTGGTCTCCACGATGAAGAAAGGGTCCGCCAGGGTCCTAGGTAGCAGCGGTGCCACAGTCGGACCCGAGGGGGGTGCCATGCCCCCGCTGCCATTGGCCCCCGGGGCGGGCGCTGGAGGCCGGGGCGGTGCGGGCGGGTGGCGGAGCAGCTCCCGTTCGTCCCTGAACTCGGGCAGGGTCTCCAGGCAGAAGGTGATGATGGAGATGAGGATGACCAAGACCGAAACAATGGCGATGGCTCGCGCCGACCCCGAGCTTTCCGGGTACTCGAAGATAAGCCACACCTGGCGCTGGAACTCGTTGCGGGGCAAGGGTTTCTCCTCCTCTTTGATGAAGCCCTCGTCCTCCCGGAAGCGCTCCATGGCCTCGTCCCCCAGCTGGTAGAAGCGGATCTCGTCCGCGAACACGTCCAGGGAGACGTTGACCGGCCTCCGCAGGCGGCCCCCGGACTGGTAGTAGTAGAGGATGCCGTCGAAGCTGGGCCGGTTGCGGTCGAAGAAGTACTCGTTCCTCAGGGGGTCGAAGTAGCGCAGGCGCTTGGCCGGGTCCCCCAGGAGGGTGTTGGGGAACTGCGCCAGGGTGCCCAGCTGCGTCTCGAAGCGCAGCCCGGAGATGTTGATGAGTACGCGCTGGTGGTGAAGGGACGCCGCGCCCAGCGCCTGGTCCTCCGCCATGCTCAGGCCCGGGTCTCCCTCCTCCTCCTCGGCCTCGGGAGGCGGCCGTCTAGGCTGCGGCTCCTCCGGCAGCGGCAGCGGAGGCAAAGGCCGCCCTCCCGGCTCCGCGCCCCTCTGGGAGCCGCACCCCGTTGGCGCCGGCTCTTTGGGCCCATCGTTAAGCCCAGCCGTCGGGGGACACTGGAGCTCTCCCCCTGTGGCCTGGCCGCAGCCTGCCCGGGCCTCACCTCCTCCTCTGACGGTCATGGCACCGCCGTTCTCCAGGGGCACCAAGGCGAGCTCCATGGCGCAGGGGCAGGGGGCATGCTGCGCCCGGCGCCCGGCTCCCGCGCCCGGCTCCCGCGCCGCCGGCGCCTAGCGCGGGCTCCGCTACGGTGGACGGCCGGCCGCTGTGGGGCGGGCGGGGGCTGCCGGCGCGATCCTCTCGCTGGGTCCTGACGTCAGGAAGCCGCTGCCCTGCTCTCTGTTCTGGCAGCCTGTTACCAAGCAGCCGAAAAGCCGCCTTCCCGCAGACGCAGCCTTCAGCCGCCCCTCTGGCTGCGCGCGGGCCCCCACCCTCGGCGCTCCCGCCCCCCTCCTCGCTTCCTTCCCCAGCGGGGTGTCTCCCCGGAGGGCGCAGCTGGGGCCCGCGAGGGAAGGGAGGGGACCGGGAAGGGCGCAGCGGCGGAGGGAGGGAAGGGGGAGGTAGGAGGAACAGGTTGTACCGAGAGCTCTGAAACTCCCAGGGCAACGAGATGAGAATAGCTCTGCATTTCGGTCCACCTGGGAACCTGCTGGAAGCCGGTGGACTCCAGGGGAAATGAGCTGCCTGGGGTTGAAGGATGAGGCTTTGAGCTGAGTGGGAGGATGACAGACGGGAGACAACAGTCCTTTTACTTTGGAGAAACAACGGTATCTCTTTGTGAAGAATAAAGACTGGAGGGGGCGTGGAGGAGCTATGGACCTGGAAATGCATATATGGGGAGGAGCGTCGCCCTTCCCATCTTCCTACAGACCCGCGGAAAGGTACCGGCTGAAACCTCGCAGCGCCCCCTGCCCCCGCCCTGGGAAAAGCCGGCACACACCCAGCGGAGCGAGGCAGGCAGGCTGGGCAGGAGGTGAGCTGTGCGGACACACAGCCCCTCCGCCCTCTGCATCAAATCCCTTTTGCAAAAACCATAACGGAGAGGGGAGAGGGATGAAAGACATCCTGGTAGAGCTGATGCTGCCTGGGGAACCTTAGCCTAGCAACTGCTCCAAGGTCTGTGAAGGGGCGGGGTGTGGCAACGTGCTCTATGAGAGGAGCCGGGGAAGCTGTCCGATCTCCAAGGCTGCAGAATTCCCAGAGTAGAATAACACCCAATACTGTGTACCAGCCCGTGCTCAGCACTTGACAAACGTTGACTCTATGTATTCCTACAGCAACCTATTTAACCGATTTTCTAAGTACTATTATTACACTCACTTATAAATGAATAAACAGAGGCACAGAGAGATGGCCTGACTTGCCCAAGCTCACACAGGTAGAAAGTAGCGAGGCTGAGATCCAAACCCAAGTGATCAGCCATCCGGACCTTGCCCCTGACTCCACTCCTCTGCAGAAACACAGAACCTCTTTCCTGACACAGGCTCGCCCTCACCCCGACGCCTGGCCTGAGAGTTTGAGTGCTCTACGTAACATACAAGTCCTGCTAGGGAAGACACTAGGTACCTTCCCCTGCCCCTGTCCCTGAGGAGTTTGAGTGGGTATTGATAACAAGGGAAGTGTCTCTCAGGTGTGTCTGGCAGTGCCAGACACAGTCTCCAGATGTTTCTTGGTTTTAAATGACCATGAAATTGCTGTGTTTTTGAATGTCTAATTGCATTGTCTATTTTTGTTCCTGTATATTGCTTGAGAGTTATGTGTGTGATGTTAGGGCCGCTTGTCTATGAATGTATCCACATTCAGAGGATGATTTGGAAACTTGGTTCTGGGTGCACGAGTGTTTGTTGGAATAGCCGAGTGTGGACATACAAGCTCGTGTCAGGGTTTGAGAAGTATATGCACGTGTGGCCTTTTGAGGGTGCGTACATGAGGGCAGATGTGAATTTGATATATGTAATGTTTGCATTGCGTGTGATTGTGCATGTGGTTCGCTGTCATTGCAGATGTGCATGCATGAGGAAGGGGTATGAATGTGGGAATCAGTGTCGGAGGCATCACTGGTTAACCACAGGCCTTCCCCAGACCTCTGCCATCCCTGCTACATCTCTGCAAGGCTTTCATTCTTCTCTGGCTCTGGGTTTGCCAGTCGGGATTAAGTCTTCTCCTGGGGAGCCTGAGACTCACTGAGCTTGCAGAGGATGAGGTCAGAGATCTGTGACCACCGTGTCTTGTTTACTGATTTATGCACCTTGTTAATACAAGGATGCTACATTGGTTTACATCGGTTCTCCTTGGGCTCCCTTAAGGGAAGAGTTCTCCGGAGCTTGTCTTCCAGGGGCTCTCAGGGAGACTCTCCCTGAAGAATAAAAGTACAACATAAACAGTCCTGGAAAAGCACAGAAGCCAGGCCTCCTTTGCTGTGGTGTTTTCTTAAATCTGCCTCCCATGCATTTGCTGGTTCTCATAGGTTTCTTGCAAAATTACCTTGCCAAACTACCTTCAGATGTCACATGTAGTAGCCATGGAGGTAGACTGCTCAGATCTCCCTTAAAGAAAGGATGTCCTTTTCAGCTGCAAGAGTGCAGTTAGCACACAGCCTTCAGCTGTTGGCGCCCCTGGCTCTGCCTCGGCTTTCCTGCAGAGGCCACACTCCTCCTCCTGGGCAGTCCCCTGTCAATGACAGAGCACGGCAGGTTTACAAGGGCCTGGCCATTTCTTCTCAATGCAGACCTCTGCTGACGGGCAGTCTTTGCTCAGGATCCCCCAGTGGGTCTGACAAATCTTTGAAAGATCTGCCTTGCAGTCTGAGACTCTCTGTCCGACCCATTTTCATCCCTTTTCCTTTCACGTCAGCAGCGTGGATGGTCTGAATACTTTCCCCAATGAATTGTGCTTCTCATCCCTTTTTTCTTTTGAGACAGGATCTTACTCTGTCCCCTGGACTAGAGTGCAGTGGCATCAGCCTAGCTCACAGCAACCTCAAACTCCTGGGCTCAGGTGATCCTCCTGCCTCAGCCTCCCGAGTAGCTGGGACTATAGGTATGTGCCACCACACTCAGCTAACTTTTCTAATTTTTTGTAGAGATGTGGTCTCGGTCTTGCTCAGGTTTGTGTCAAACTTTGCCATGCCTGGCCCTCCTATCCCTTTTATCTTTCTTTTATTATCTCCTAATAAACCTCTTGCACTCCTGACTCCATCTCTGTGTCTTCTTCCCAGAGGATGCATCACATAACTGAGAGCTGCCTTCTTTCCTGTCCATCCCGTACTAGGAGATAAGGGCTTTTATAGCAGTGCTTAGTGTGCACCGTCACCTGAGGATCTTGTTCAAATGCAGACTCTGAACCCAGGTGGGGCTCAGACTGTATTTTGAACAAACTTCCAGGTGATACTGATGCATCTGTCTACAGAACACACTTTGAGTAGCAACCTCATCTCAGACAAACCCCAAACAATATCTTCCAATGAATTATTTGCAACCCCTAGACATGTACCCCAGAATGAGATAGATAGAGAGTAGTAATAGGAGGTTTCTTTCAAGTCATAGGACTGGTCCTAGCAGACCACAGGAGGACTTGTGAAGTGTGCAGAACCAAAGAGAAAAGGATGTTATAAGCAGTAATTACAAGGAAGGCATTGAAGGGAAGAAGTGGAGGAGGAGGAGAAAGAATCATACATACAAACTTTATTGACTATTCCAAAAATATGTATGGAATGCCCACTATGTGCAAGGCGTTGTTGAAGGTGTTGAAATATACTGACAACTGAGACAGACATATTTCCTAAGCATCTAATAATAAGTGTACATTAATTGTTTAATTATAATTTTGAGGGGTACATCTAGGATATAGGGTGCTGTGAGGGTGGGGGGAGGCTGACCCCATCTGGGTCTGGGGAAGATTTCCTGCAGTGATGATGCCGAAGCCACTATTCCAGGTGGGAGGAAAAGCATGTGCTGAGGCCCTGGGAGAGGAAGGGACAGGGCTGCTTTGAGGAACTGAAAGAAGATAATGTAGTTGGCACAGAGGGCTAAGGCGGGTTCTGTGAGACTGAGAGGGCCGGAGAGGTGGAGGGAAGCCGGATCCTGAGGAACTTTCTAGGTCATGTTTCATGGTCTCCTTAGCAAGATGTAATAAAATCTCCTGTCTTCCACCCACAGATACTTTGCTTGAGTGACTATCAAAGCAGATGCGCCAATATACTTCTAGCTCTCCATTGCTTGTTTCATTCCCTGCTCCTCCCCATCGCCCCTTAGAATGAATATACCTTTATCTTTGCTTCTGTGTGTACGTGCACAGCTACATGTATGTATCTAGCTGCCAGCTGTCCATCTGGCCCAGGGGTGGGCACATGTGGCCTTCCAGATCCCCACATGTGGCCTTCCAGATCCCCACATGTGGCCCCTCGACCGAATCCAAACTTCACAGAACAAATCTCTTTATGAAATGGTATCTACCACTCCATTTCTCTACCTACTATCTATTTACCTACCTGCCTGCCTAGCTAGCTATCATCTAGCTAGTTATCTATCTATCAGTGACAAGCAGGTAGATAGGTTGGTAGGCAGATGATAGACAGGTAGGTAGACAGACAAATAGATAACAGATGAGAGAGAGATTGATTTTGAAATTGGGCACCCTACTTTGTTCATCTTTGATTTTCCTTACAACACCAAACATGGTGCCATGTCCATATTACGCATTTCAATAAATATGTGCTGAATGCGATTGAAGTAAGAGAAAGAAGTTCAGCTATTGGAGCAGGGCGGGAGGGAAAACCAAGGGCCAGAAACTAAAAGGTGGTTTCTAGAGATTAGCTAAATACACAAAAGGGTTGTGGAGATGGGACCTACCCAGAAAAATGTAAGGCTCATTTGGATGGCCAAATAGAGGAAGTGGTGACTTAAATTGGCTTTGGCCCTTTTTTAAGGTTACCTAACACTGCCCAGACCACCTCCACCTTGTGGGTAAAAACAACAATTTCATATTTTGGACTATGCAATGGAATTCCTCATGTTTGAGACCTCAGGCTACTGTAGCTGTGTTTATTATATAAGAGTAAACCCAAAACACAGAGACCTGCTGAATTTTCATCTAGGTCAGGGAGAAAGCTTTCCCCGTTGGACCAAATTTAAAGGGACAGGAGGAGGCAGAGTGGAAATCAGTTCTAATTAGTTACTAGTCTTTCCTGTCAAGCATGGACTTTCACTCCTCCACTGTGGAGGGGGGTC